TTTATCTTTGTCATAATTGCATCCATGTCATAATCTCAATTTCAGCATTCCTCAGTTACCACCTCTTCTCTTTCCCACTCATTCCCTCTAGTACTTTAAGAACAACAAATTCTTGATCCAATAAGGAATGACAATTTTGAAGCCTACTGCTTTTTCTCACCCACCTCATGTGTTTCCTTTTCTCCTTTACCCAGCATAGATTCCATGAATCATTGTTATTATCACTCTGTACAACCCTCTACTCTTGGCCTGCACGCTGTCAGTCTTACTCACAGGTCAAAACTGCAACTCTGGTTACATGTCTTCCTCTGCCAACTCAACTCTGCCCATGCCTGCACTTGCCCGGCATAGCAGGCTGGAGGAAAACATACAACCATGCTGAGTGGTTTCACTTCAAATTAATGATCAATCACTTAAAGCAGGCCCTTCATGCTGCGCAACAATCCTACTACAATTTCCTAGTCCACGTGTTTTCCATTTTCCTAGAAAATAGTTTCATAACTTATCCTCTCTCCACTAACTGCTCCCCTATCCTCACTTTTCAGATGATCATTGTTTCCTATTTTCTGAGAAATACAAGCAAAGATAACATCCATAGCTCGTACTACCCACCATTTGCAACTGTATCTGTATACTTTTCTTCTGGTTACTACTGAAGAATTAGCTGTCAGTGCTTCTAACTAAGGCCAACGTGTCTACCAGTGCTCTAGAGGACTGTATCCCATCCTGCCTACTCAAGGACATGGCTACAGTGGTTCCTCCCTCTCTCTCTCTAGCATCATAAATTTTCCCGTTATTGGATACATTAGGGTATTGCATTACAAAGATATGCTTTAATATCACTTACTTAAAAAAAACAACAAACCTCAGTAGCCACATTTCCTCTGGCTACTGCCCCATTTCTCCTGCTGCCCTTTATGGCATAACTTTTTGAAAGAAATGTCTAACTCCCTATCATCAATTTCTCTGCTTACATTTAATTTTGAACTCTCTACACCACTCCAGTGAGATCATTGTTTTAAAGGACACCAAAGATCTCCATAGAAATCCAAGGCTCTATTCTCAGTCCTCACAAGCTGATTCTTTCTTATCTCCCCAACCTCTAAATGCTGAAATGCCCCATGGCTCAGTCCTCTTCTCTTGCGAAACTATACCCCTCTCCACAGGTGATATTACCCAGCCCCATGATTTTAAATACCATCATAGGCTGACAACTCCCAAATTCATTGTGCAGACCTCTCCCTGAATAACTTATTTGCATATCCAACTGACAGTTTAATTTGTCTACTTGGATATCTAATAGGCATTTCATATCCCTGATCTCCATGCCATCTGCTCCCCAAATGCTCCTTTCACAATCTTCCACATCTCAGTAAACTGAAGCTCTATTCTTTCTCCCAATTACTAATCTCAAAAAGTTGAGAAACACCTTAGACTCCTCTTCTTCCTTCAAACCCTACATCTGATCCATCAACAAATACTGGTGAGTTTACTTTCAACACATATCTGCAATCTAATCACTTCTCAAATCCTCCACTACTATCACCCTGGTTGGAAACCACAATCAGCTCCCATCTGGGTTATTCTACTAGCCTAACTGGTCTCCCTGTTCTCAAGGTAATAGAAGAGTCATCATTTTACTCTTCTGCTCAAAGCCTTCCTCACTCCTTAATGGCCAACATCCTTACAATGGCTTACAAGGCCCTGCATGACCCAGTCTCCTACTACCTCTCTGACCTTATCTCCTACCACAGTGTCTCTCACTGGCTCTACTCCAGCCAACAGGCCTCACTGTTCTTTCCTGGATATGCCAAACAAGTTTAGAACCTTTGTCTTAGCCATTCCTTCTGCCTAAAACAGTCCTGTCCAGAACTGACATGTCAGGCATCCTTTCTCCTTCAGGTGTTTACCCAAACACACTTTAACAGTGAGGCCTTCCCTGACACGGTAGTATAATACCACCCTATCACATTCCCATCCTCCATTACCCTCCTTTATTTTTCTCCAAAGCATTTAACACCATCTGACATAACAAATATTTAATTTTATTGTTTCCTGCCTGGATCTCCTCACTAGAATGGGGTTCTGGGATAGTTATATCCTCAGTGTATAGCACGCATTTGGTTGCTATCTCCTTGGAACTTTTTCAATTGGTTCCATAGCACACTTGCTCTTGGGTGTCCTGTCTCCTTGCCCGTAATTGAAAAGGGGTGGGAAGGTACAAAACCCATCTTAGGAAGATAATTGATCTTCTGTGTTAAGTTGGGAGGAGCCTACAGCAGCATGAAGGCTAGACAACTAAATACTCCTTCGGGAGCAAGATATTTCAGTACCTAGGGAGGCCAAGAACTTATTTTCTATATCTGCAGATAGGACAACTGCAGCATGACAGCCAACATACGAAAGTGTGTTAGCTTTAGGCCAGGTGTGGTGGCTCACACCTGTAATTCTAGCACTTTGGGAGGCCAAGGCCAGAGGATCACTTGAGGCCAGGAGTCTGAGGCCAGCTTGGGCAATATGGTAAGACCCTGTCTCTACAAAAAATTTAAAAAGACAGTAAGTGTATTTGCTATCTTTTACTGAAAATGAAAACTACCTCCTAAAAGAGAGATTTTTTTAAATTTATTTTTTTATTGCTTCAACCAATGGAAAATATAAAATTGAATTTACCAAATAGTCACAGAAACTATGAAAGAACTAAAGTTACTTATTTTATAAATAGGTAGTGTCTAATTTATCTGGCAATGGATATTAGATCCAATTGTAATAAGGGCAAAAATTAACATTTTTCTATGATAAAAACAATGTGGACTAAATTTTGGAAATAATATTGAAAAATAAAAAGAAGTACAAAATAGCATTTTCCTCTAAATTTAGCCAACCTTGTTAAGGAATGATCAAGGAATTGTCACACAGTGGAAGAGACTAAGAAGAAATGACAGCTAAATGCAACAGGGGACCCCAGGCTGAATTGTGGAAGAGAAAAAAAAAAAAGACATAGTTGTAAAAACTAGTGAAACCCAAATAAAGTCTATATTTTAGTCAAAAAGTAAACAACAACAACAAAAATTCAAAAAAGAAAATCTCCATTTAGTACAAGAAGCCCTTCCTCAGCACCTAGCCCACATCCTCTGCATAAGTTCTTATTCTACCTGGAAGTTCTACTCCAGTCAAGACACACCCTTCCAGAGGTGGATACCTTTAGTTGTTAGAAAGGTTCTTCCTTGTATTGCTTTGAGTTATATTCCTTTGTAGCGTCACTCAATCTAGTTCTTCCTTCTAGAACTACACATAAGTCTAATTCTTCTTTTACTTGATCTTCACATATTCTATATTCTGCCTCAAGTTTCTTTTTGAAACTTGACATATCCAGTTCCTCTCATCTCATGATTTTTATGACCTTTATCATTCTCACCACACAACCTTTAAAGTACTTCAGTTTGTCAAATGGCCTTCTCAAGATCAATGCTCAGAACTAAAGAATAATGTAGAGCATTTCAAATCATTTGTCTTCTTGTTTTGGACACTACTATGCCTAAAACCATCCTCTTTTTTAGCGGCCATGTTACACTGTTGATCATTAATGAATTCACAATCAACAATCCCTTAGTCTTTTTCATATGGATGCCTATGAAGGAACTGTCAGGAGGGGAGGAGGGAACATAGCTGTTAACATCATCCTGCTTTTTTATTCTCTTAACAAATCATTTGGGTGCTAACAATGTGCCCAACAATTACAGTTCTATTCCTACCTACAATGGACTTTTGCTATGGTTTGAATGTTTGTGTCCGTCTCAAATTCATATTTTGAAATCCTAACCCCCAAAGTGATGGAATAAGGAGGTGGGGTCTTTGGGAGGAGATTAGGTTATGAGGGTAGATCACTCATAACTGGTGTTAATGCCCTTATAAGAAACCTCAGAAGGATTCCTCGTTCCTTCCTCCATGTGAGTACAATGAAAAGACCACTCTGTAAAAAGCAGACTCTCACCAGATACTGATTATGCCTGCAACTTCATCTTGGAATTCCCAGCCTCCCCAACTGTAAGAAAGAATTATCTGTTTTTTTATAAGCTACTTAGTTCGTGGGATTTTGTTATAGGAGCTCCAGCAGACTAAGACAACTTTCCAAATCTGACTAAAGAAACTATTTCAACAAAACATATAAAAAGCTGAAAACAAACTATACAAAGGAGTTCCCAATCATTATCCAACCAATAAATCTAAAATCTTAAAACCACAGCCTGCTGAAAGTAGACCATCACTACCAATCATTCGCCCATATTTATGCGGTATAATTTAATGCCTTCTCAGCCCTATGACCTTTTTCCCCTCCTCACAGAATCACAGTGGTAACTGGTAAAGTGAGATGTCCAGAGTACCCCTCTATGAAAGAGAGTCTTCATTCATCTGCAAGCTTTACCCGAGAGTCATAAATCTCAACTGAAAAAGCCACCTAGTGACTTACACACATTTTAAAGCTGCCGTGCACCACCTTCCAGAAACCAAAGCATCAGACCTGAGTTTCCCAATGGCCCTTCCTGGGCTGGAGTCACCTATTACACAAAGCCAATTCATAACTTCCTTACACCTGGGCATCATTAATCTATTTTCTGACCTCTCACCCTCAACATCCCCCAACACCTTTGAAGTCAAAGCATTAGTCATTTTTGTCAGGTGTAAATAACATACACAGCACGTGCATAGGGATGCTCTGATGTCCACAACACGCAAAAACTTGAACATTTCCAGATCGCTTAAATCCCTGATGTTGCATAAAGGGCCTTGAGAAAAACATAAATACTGGCAAAGCAGCCTTCCCATAGTTGTCGCTTTGGGGACGCAGGGTTCCTAAGTCAGGAATGGGATGCCAGCAACATTCCGTCACCTCACACAACCCCTAAGACGAAGCCAAGGGAGGCGGCTGGCAGGCCTGAAGCGCAGGCAAGTGGCGGCTCCCCAGGAGTGACAGCACCGGCCGGCCCTCCCCAGCCTCTCACCTCTCTTGTCCAAGAGCCACATGAACGCGAAGCAGGGCAGGAAGCCGATGGGCCCCCAAAGCACGAGCAGCGCGATGTCCCAGCTGGAGAAGCCGTAGGCCTGGCGCGCCGAGTTCTGGATGGGGCCCCAGGTGTTCCAGACCAGGCCCTGCGCGAACGCGAGCAGCGAGAAGAGGAGCAGCACCAGCCAGCGGCGCCCGTACACCCGCCCGGGACCCGGGGCCGCCGCAGGCAGCGCCGCCGCCGCCTCCCGGTTTCTCCAGGCAGCCCCCGGCCCAGGCCCGAGCCCGGGCCCCAGCAGCGGCTGCCGCTCCTCCTCGCTGCTCCAGCCCGAGCCCATGGCGCCGCGCCGCCCGCTGGGCCCCCGCCCGGCGCAGTCCGGGTCACCGCCGACTAGCCCAGCGCAGAAGTGGCCGCAGGAGCTGGAGGCGGAGGTTGCTGTGGTCGCCCTCAGCCTCCCGGCCGCGCCTGTGCGCCTGCGCGGCCCGAGCCGCCGGGCGGGGAGGCGGGGCAGCTAGCGAGTAGGCTGGGATCCCACCTCCCCGCCGCGGTGGCCGGGAGACGCTGGCGAGAGGAGAGGAGCCGGGGTCCCAGGGGAGGGTAGAGAGGACTGGAAATCACAGGGAAGAGCGGGCTGAGCCGGGGGAAAGGGAACTCCTAGAAAGACTGTTAGAGGAGGCTGGGCAACGAACCTTGGGGTCGTTGGAGGAAGTGGCCAAGTTAAATCTTGTGTCCAGTAACTCGGTGACCTCTGGTCACTTAACCTAATGCTTGCTTCTATTATAGGGGGAATTGAGGTAAGATCGAAGTGTAGTGGAGTCTCAGGGGATTGTCTCATGAAAATCATTTGTTTTCTATGTACAGTTAGTACTGCCTCGTTTAGTCTTTTTGTCTTACCATACATAGCCAACGAGATTATAAACTAGCCACTTTCATTCATATGTACAAAAAATATAATCTTTCTACCCATTTTGACTGTCACTTAGTAGTCGAACAATAAAGATATGTTGATTAAGGTTGGAAGATTTTTGTCCCAAAGTGACCTATCCAGTCAATTATGTTTGTTTTTTTAACGAAACTAAAATTTTAGTGTCTCCACTTATTATGATTTTGACTAAAGAATGAACAGGGAGAAAGGAGGTTGTTAATCTCTTCATCAGGGAGCTGTTTATTTTGATATACAAATCCAGAAGCCCTGACAGCTGTCGGATCAGTGTCCCTGAAAACCCAAGTCAAGCAATCTGGCTTGCCTGGGTCAGGAAATGAGTCACAAAGAACGCAAAGGATACTTTGCCTGAGGTTCATATTCCCCGCAGCCACGAAAACCAGATGGGGTCACGTTGTTGCCAGAAGGGCAAGAGAGGTGGAAGGGAAGCGTGAGCTACCCTAGTGTTCGGGGCTGGTAAGAGCCGCTGTCCCCTAAGCAAACGAACGCAGAAACCCACTCCACTGCCCGGAGCCCCACAAAACGGCGAGCCACCCCCTAAAAGTCCAATCTTCTTGGGTGGAGAAAAGCCAAGGCAGAAGGGAAGGACCAGACTAGAAAACCAGAAGCATAAACGAAGCTAAGACTATGTGAAAAAAGCCTTAAGTTCTGGGGAAGGTAGAAAGCGCCACAACCCAGGCCACGTGCTGGCATTTCAACACGGGGGAATCAAAACAAAGCTACGTGCCCCGCCCAGCACCTGTCACGTGACTTCCACGTGAGCCGGCGCTTCCGGGGGAGCCCTGTAGGAGCGGCGCGGACTCCTTCCTGTGGTGCCGTTTCAGGCCCGGGTTCTGGCCCCTTGGCTGACCCGATTCCGGCCCGCTCCACTTTGGGTTCCGGCGGAGCCCGCCTCCCGGTAGCTATGGCTGCAGGCTCGGGGGCGACCACTCATCCGACCCTTGCAACTGGAGCTGGACGAGAGGAAGGTAGGTGCCAGGCTGAGGTCAGACCCTGTGTGCAAACCCGGTGCCAGCTGACTCTTGGCACAGCTCATGTGGCTGTCTTCCTTATCCCCATCCCAGATTTCTCTGGTCTTGCGTTAGGCTGTGAGGAAAATTGTGTATTATCTAGTGAACGTGGCATTTCTGGAATTGTGGCATTCAGATTTTTGGTCATTGTATGGTTCTTGTATCCCCATATCATGAGTGCTGTTTCACTTATAGGGGTGTTTGAACGTCAGAGTGGATTAAAGTTAAACTGGTGAAACTGGAGCCACCCTTGAGGTAAATGAAAGTAATCTGCGAATTTTGCAGACAGGCATTACGAGCCTTGATTCAATTTCAGTGGACCCTGGTTTAGCTAGTAACTGAGGTTTGGAAACCCATAAGCCTGAGACACTGTTAGAGTTTATTGAATGATTGCTCCGTGCATGGCACTGTTCTGGATACTGCCACAGGATCCAGAGACTTTGAATGTTTATAACAATGCCGTGTGCCAAGGAACTTATATTGAGTAAAGGAGCCTAGGAAGGAAAAAGAATGACTTAATATGTGATCACGTGAACTGTACCACCGTAGTACATGCCCGGTGAGGGCTGTCGATAGGAGAAAGGATTCTAGTGGGGAAAACATAAATTCCTTAAGGAGGGAATAGTTTCCATGGGCCTTTCTTTTTGTTTTATTTGATGTTTTATATATGTATTTTTTATTGCAGCATATTACGGGGGTACAAACGTTTAGATTATATATATTGCCTCTGCACAGCCCGAGTCAGAGCTACACGCGTGTGCATCCCCCAGACTGCGCACCTCACCCATTAGGTGTGAGATGGGCCTTTCTGATTGGATGAGATAGTGACAAACTCAGGTGGTGATGCTGGGGGCTCAGGAAGACAGGGAGCAGAAAAGTGCAGGATGGATGTATTTGGAGATCAAATAGTTTGTCTAGAGGGGGAGATTACCCATACCTTGCAGAAGAAACAAATTATAACTTCCTACTAAACGGCCCTTTCTTCCAGAGAGATGATTCTTGAGCTTAATCTGTATCTCCATTTTTTTGATTTTTCCATTTTCTATCCACTGCATGCCTTTATCCAGTTTCGAATGCATGTCAGTTTGACATTGTAAGTTCTCCTTTGAAAATAACTATTCTCTTGTCCCTCTCTGCATTTAATCTGACAAACATTTACTCCAGACAAACCCAACCTTTTGCCCTCTTCGAACCTGCATCTATGTGGCTGAACTTTGGTGGAAAAATCCTGCACAAATTGATGATAAAATGAAAATTGCCAGACTCTTGAATATTCTCTCAGTATGGGCCTGAGATCCTTCGGATCTTTGTTTCTCCAATAACAATTCCCCAAACTCTCTATAACCTCTCTTCATCTCTTATTTTCAGTTGACGACTTTGCAAGTCAGTTCAATTCTGCATCTAATCTACTTTTTTCCTCCTTCACTATCAGATCCTAGTCCAAATCATCGACATTTCTCACCTTAACTACTACTATATCTTCTGACTTACATATGTTTCCTATCTTATTCCCCTTCAGTCCCTTCTCCATTCAGCAGCAAAAAGTGACACTCTGTTACATAAAATTCTTCAATGAATTCTGTTGCACTTAGAGTAAGACTCAGAACTCCTAACCATGGCCTATAAAAATCCTTGGTCTGAGCTCTGCTTATGTCTTTGGCAGCTTTTCTTGTCACTCACCCACCTCCTGCTTTTCACAAAGCTGGGTTCTTAATCTTTTGAGACCTTACCAGACCAAACTATCTAAAGCAGTCAAGGTCCCACCCCACCCCCCTTGCCCCCTGTCCCTACCAGATGTTCTATAATATAGCATCCTACTTCTGTCATTTTACTTATCACAATCTATAATTACTTCTTTATTATTTGTTTTTTCCATTAAGTGCCCCAAGGGTACCATAATGTGTCCAGCAGCAAGTACAATGCCAGGTACATAGCAGGCACTTAATACATATTGGAATGAATAAGGGAACTCCATGCCAAGGCCAGAGGCAAGAGGAGAAAGCATGGCATGGTCCAAGAACTGAAAGAAGTTGGTGTGAGGAGTAGTGAGAAATACCCAGTTAAGGAGTCCAGGCTTTAAGACACTGGGAAACCTTAAAAAACTTTAGGCATGATCAGATTTGGTTGCATGATCAGGTTGGTTCTCCTCTGGCTGAAGGAGAGGGCATAGTTTGGAGGGGAAAGACTGGAGGACAGGCTACTTATTAATCCCTCAGAGCCTCATTTTCCTCCTCTGTAAACTATATGATTTTTTAATTTTTTAGATTTCAGAATATTATGGGGGTACAAACGTTTTGGTTACATAAATTTCTTTTGTACTATTAGAGTCAAAGTTATATGTGTGCCTAAAATGCATGATTATTGTGAAAATTAAAGATAATATATGTGTAGATTATCTAGCATAGTGTCTGGCAGGAATTAGGTATTCAAGAATGGTGACCATTTTTATTATTAATAGAAAGTGCCAGCCTTGGTGACTAGTTGATGTTGGAACAGAAAAAAGAAATTAGAGATGTTCTGTGAGAGAATACTTTGCCTTAAATTAGATAAGGCTGATATGAACAAAGGTTAAAAAAATATATACATTAAATGAATTAAAGTGAAAGCATCGGTACATTCAGTACAATGATGAATGTAACGAGAGTCATAGACAAGTTCATTTTTGAGCAAACTTATTATCGTTCCATCATTAAAAAATATTTGAATGCACACTGTAAACAGGGGACTTTCTCATTCAGTGAGGTAGAAGACAGTCCTTGCCCTAAAATAGCTTATAAATACCATTTTCAGGGGGAAAAAAAGACACAAATAAAAAGAACTGCAGTGTTAGATAGATCCATAAGGTAGGCTGCAATTAGGTGGAATATAATACCTAATATTATATGTATTAAGTGCTCTGGGGGCTAAGAGAAGAAAACTAATACATATTGGGTTGGTTTGTCCTTCCTAGAATAATTTCTTGAAGATTTGGTGAGGTGAGGCTAGCATGAAGTCAAGTGAAAGCCCACAGCATGTTGGGTTAGAGGATAGAGAGGAAGGTGAGGAGACGGGTTCGACTAGAGTGGAAGTGGTGACAGAGAACACAGGTAAAAAGGAAGAAGCTTTGTCTGCTAAGTCCAGAGAAGAGCAGGGTGAAAACAGAAAAGGTGAAGTGAAGAAGAGGAATATCATTGGTTTCTCAGAAAAATAGAGCAAGGTACCACAACAGTGAGGAAGTGGAGAGGGATATTGGGGATTTGAGAGTGAAGAAGGTCTGGAATGGCTGCCATAGGATGGAGGGCGATTAGGGGGTGTCAGTGATTGGGAGCAGGAGAGGGTAATGAATGGAGGTGAACATATAATTGTAGAACTGGTCCCTTTGTTTTGAGATTGTTTCTGGTTATGCTCAATAGCCCATTATGCAAAAGTAGAGAAAACAAACAGTTTCAGTAAAGTTTCATACATTACTAAAAAATGAGATGTGAATTCTTAGTTATCCAGAAAACATTTATTTAACCTCATTTTATGCCACAAGCACTGTGCTGATCTCTAGGAATATAAAAGAGGCTTGCCTTCAAGGATGTGACATTTTTTTACCTGAAGTATCAGCTTGGAAATTATTTAAAACAAACATGAAGATACTTACTGTTAAGAATCAATTCATTTATTTTTTTTCCTTTAAGATTTCTTGATTAGAAACAAAAGAATCAATTTAAATTCTGAATGTCAGATGTTACTTCCAGGATCATGCTTTGGTGGAAGCATTCAGTGAAATTAAAAATTGCAATTCTTTGAGTCTGATTCTGTCTTTCAGACTTAGGTTATTATATTTCTGTTGGGCTCTCATATTTTTAGTTATAGCCAGGATTATGCCTTGATGAAGATGAGAATGTATTCTTAGTACTCTTCTTCCAGCTTCTTGAGGAAATATCTCAGTGCAGAATTATATATGATTGAGTTTCATGTAGAGCTGATGTTCCTACGTAACTCAGTTGGAGACACATACTCTCCATGTCATTTTTGTTCTCATTTAAAAAAGAGGTTGAGGGCTGATGAGTTTAAAGAAAAGCAAAAACCTATATAATCTCAAAAAGTTAAAAGTATTCCCATGCTAGAGCACATGTGTAAGTCTTAACATAACTAAAATACTTTGTACTTGATAATGACAAATATCAGAAAAACAATACTATTGAATTTTTTATTGTGTTAAAAACACATAACATTTACTCATTTGTGAATGAGTAAAGGTGAGAAATTACAAATTGTGAATTTGTAAATGTGAGAAAATATGTTAACCATCTTTAAGTGTACAGTTCAGTACTGTTAAGTAGATTCACATTGTTGTGAAAGAGATCTCCAGAACTTTTTCAACTTGCGGATCTGAAACTCGGTATCCCCATTAAGCAATAACTTCCCTTTTTCCCCTCCCCTCAGTCCTTGGTAACTGCTGTTCTATTTTCAGTTTCCACAATATTGACCACGTTAGATACCTCATATAAGTAGAAACATACAGTATTTGTCTTTTTGTGACTAGCTTATTTCACTTAGCATAATGTCTTCAAGATTTATCTATGTTGTAGCATGCAACCAGATTTCCTTCCTTTTCAAGGCTGAATAATATTACAATGTATGTAAAAACATTTTGCTTATCCATTCATCCATCAGTATATGTTTGGGTTGCTTCCACCACTTGGCTCTTACAGTAGTTCTGTTGTGAACATTGGTGTGCAAATATTTCTTCAAGACCCTACTGTTGAATATATTTAATGAAAATAAGATGAAATAATTTATTCTGAGTTACAGAAAATTAGAGAAAGCTAGAGTTAGATGGAAACATTTTAGTAGAAATTTTGAAGGTACTTTGGGAGTATTGCAGAAACCTTTAGGAATGGTTGAGACACCACTCCTTCTAGTGTTAATCACATTTAAAATATAGATGAGTTTACTTTTCCTTGCTTTAGGTTTAAGACCACTATTAC